CTCCTTGTCAGCTCTTTCCATTTCTGTCTCTCTAATTCAATACACTCTTTAAGTTTCATGTATTTTAGGATATTCTATATACACCACCCATAAATTTACTAAAAAACATAGTTAAAATTGAAGATTTTTCTAATTATATAATCATTGCAAAATAGCTATAATTGAATTCATATGTTGTAACGATTATGTAATTAGTAGATTTTTCAAATTAAATCAAAAAATTTCAATTTTTAACTATGTTTATTAGTAAAAAAGTAATAATCATCCATAAAAAATATTTTTATAAGTAAAAAGGAATAGGTATATTGTATTGACTATGCTGTGTGTTGATTAAATTAAAAACGAAAAAGTTCATAATTTCTATATTATTCAAAAATTTAATAAAATCACAGGTAAATTTACATGTACTGTATATAGATTTCTGAGCTTATTGTTACATATACAATATTAAACACAAATTTTGCAGGTGACATCAATCGAGCTCACGGATTTCAAATGTTTTGGTGCCAAGACAAAAACGAGAAATCGCAACTAGTTCGAGCTTTATTAAGTTAACAGATTGAATCACCAATAAAAAATTCGTGCCATTTTACTTTAAATTGATGTTTCTTAATACAGGCGAACAACAACGCTGCTGATATGAAACCATCTATAGTTAAAGATTTTAATCACCCTTTGCGTGTGCTATTGGATTTTCTAGCACAAAAATAAAATATTTTAATAACATAAATATATCAATAATATGAGTTCCAGAAATTTCAGGCAAAAAATTACTGTATGCATAAAAATTATTAAAATATCAAATGTTAACAACGTATTACTATCTACGTATTACAATATTTCTTTTTAGTAACAGTGACTCTCAACATAGCGGATACATGTACATGTACTAATTAAATTGATGACGGATAGAAAGTTCAAAGCAGTCATAATAAATCTTACTCGATATACGGATTTACTAATAAACTCATGAAATAGCTGGATTTTCGAACCATCCAGAGTCACTGTAATAATGCATGTAATTTATTTGATCATATGACGAAACTTTAGCATGTATAAGTTATTATTTTAGAAGTCATTTCCTATATTTAATTTAGCTCTGATAGTGAAACTGGTTTTTGAAAATGGTTTTTATAATTTCCTAGCTCGAATTAGACTTGTAAATATCGGTTTTAAACCAACTACAAGTAAACCCTTCTATAACGACATTATTTAGAATTCCCTATAGTGATAACGAAATTTATGGTATATTTTGAAAATCTGATACTGTATCTTGTCAATATTTACTATTTACGTTTACCCTGATGAACCAAGATTATTGTGTCAAACAGATTAAACGCGGCATATATTTTATCGCCATATCTGTTGTATTTTTAATTGCTAAAACAATCTTGTTTTGTTATATTGACTAATGAATGCTATTTGTCTTGATGAAATCTGGTATGACAACGTCATCCTGACTGGGATTTCGTGCATTCGACGATCGGAATGTTGGCGTAAGCAACATTGTAAATATTAATATGTATTAAAAAACTTTGATCGACAACAATCACACACAGTTTTGGATTTTGTTCACCGAGAAAAGAATTATCATTAAAATTATTAAAATTAACCGAATAAAAAATGACCCCTGACTTGTTATTGAGTTCACACTCAAACAGACTTGATGAATTTTATAAAAATTCCAACTATTGTGATATTTCGATTATTGTTGGTGAAAACCAAGG